TTATTGTGTCTTCTTAAAAATTAAAATGATTATCTTCCAAATTTTAAACCTTCCATAGTTTCAAGGACTACCGTTACAATAAGTCTGTTGGTGAATCGTTTTGGCATCAGATCATTCACAGGTACACAGCCTACCTTCCCCACAGATCTCACACCTCTTACGACACATATGAAGATCACGACCCAAGACGCAAGAAGACACAACGCCAGCTCCCATTTGATTGGTCCAAGGTAGTTTATACCACTTGATATACCAAGAGCTTTGTACCTGAAAATGAAAGTTCCATACTTCATACTTTTATGCATTGCACAAATAGGGAAAGTAAGAAGCTAATGTTTGAAATTATATACATGGTCTAGCATGACCTTTATCCCATCCCGATGTCAATAAAATAAGTAGTAGTGGTGGTCCGATTAATTGAAATAATCGAAGATTGGTCGCAATGACTAAACGACCAAGCAATCGATCATGTTTTCTCATAATCGATCACAAACAATTCTGGAACACTTGTTTGCATTAACAATATTTTTCACTAGGTTGCTTTTGTCTGTTACATTTCATAAACATTACAAGCTCGTTGCAAGTCAGGATTGAATTTATGTTAAAGACTCCAGGAAATTTATGTTCCTAACATACTAGTCATCCTTTAAAGTTGTTAAATTTGCACATGCATTTTGTGGAATTTGCAAAAAGACTCATAAGAACTACATGTTTTTTCTTTGTTTTTTTGTGCAGTAACAGACATAACCAGAAAAATTTGATAAATGATGCTGACCAATTATTTTCGATGATTGATCGGTTGTAATGAACCAATCATCAATTATGAGATTTTATCCAATTCCCAACACTAATAAGTAGTACAAGCTTTTGGGGTGAGTGAGTATGGTTCTATGACGCAAAGCATACTACGTGACAACGATGCAAGATTCTGTATCGAAACGTCGCATCATCAGAATAAAGAAGTTCTTCATCAATAAACTTTGTCCTTATCTGATTCACCTACTTCTAAACATGCCACTCAAAGAGGTAAAGATGCTTGCACCTACTGCCAGAATTCCTCTGCTGCTGTGTGAGACAGAGAGTCGTTGTTCCACCGACTGCCATCAAAATGGGTACCATTGCTGTATGCTGCCACCACAGATGTGTACGTGGTGTTAAACTCTCCAGTCCCGTTCACACTTGTAGAATTCAACGCTGCAAAATGAAACACGCATGCATTAATACTGTATTATCAAATTTTCCATTCTCAATGCTAGATTGAACAGTGTAATTCTGTTCTGTAACGATGAAAGACATGTACTGTGATCAGATACTGAAAGCCTGTTTGGCATAATGAAATTGTGATTTTCTTCATGTCCTAAACAGGAAACAAAGCATATATCTATGAAGGTCCTGTTAGGGACAGAAAGTTCGTTCCGGTTTGACAGAGCTCCGGGTTTATTGGACAATTGTGGAAGTTACACCCCTTGAGGTCACAACATGAACAGTTCACGTACAAGTCTGAATGAGTGAGTATGGTTTTACGCCTCGTTTAGCAACATTCCAGAAATATCACGGCGGGGAACACCAGAAATGGGCTTCATACATTGTACCCATCTGGGGAATCGAACCCAGGTCTTCGGAGTGACGAGCCAACGCTTTACCCACTAGGCCAACCCATACGCTTGAAGGAACTTGATGCATGACCACTGAAGCGTGTATCCTCCATCTTCTGGTCTGTCTCTGACCCCTTCCACTAGGCCCTTACCGTAAAGCATTAGCCTTAAATGAAGCTACTCTACATTATCCACAGGTTTGGGTGTAAATAAAAGCTCCTTCGGCTCCTCTTCAGTTTGGAACATTACATATTAGCAGAGACCAAGTGTTGGTCAAAGTGTCTCCATATGGAAACCTGTACAATTTGACAAAAAAAGACGTAGCCCCCTCTTTAAAGCCATATAGTTAAAAATGTCGGCACACAATATCCCCACATGATGAATGATGACATCGTTACCTCCAGTAAGTTGGTTCAAAGCTTTGACGCTGGTGACGCAGGAGTCGGTGTTCCAGCTGTTGTTGCAGTCTGTCCAGGGTAACGTGGCCCTACAAGAGTAGACGGTGTAGTACAGCGCCCAGGCACAGATGACGGTCAGATACACCACACAGCAGAAACACATGGCCAGCATGCCCAGGCCCAAACCTGGAAACAGAGAACATGTCTCATGATTGTTTTGTGCTGACCAATGAAATTTGTCGTTAAGTCAGCTGATATTGAAGTGCAGGTGAAATGGTGTTTTAACGACACTTTCGAGGTGATTACATTTACATTACATTCGAAATAGCTACTGGCCCGCCAGCCAAATGCTAGCTGATTGTGAATGGGCCCAGTAATATACTGCTAAAGCTATCCCGCCTGGCTAGCTGAAAATCTCAGATAATTTGTTCTTTATTTAATGCACATGAATAATTATGACGATGTCAATAGAATAAGGTGTTATAAATAGTTGAATATGATCCCTGTGAAGCTATTCATAATTGGTTGAGGGTGAAGCCTCGGAGAGTTGGGAGACTTGTCCCTGATGTCCATGGCCAAGCTGGATATCTACGCGATACTGGGAATCAGCAATCTCTTAATCAGTGTGGTCAGAGACGAAGATAGCTATGATTACCATGACAGCTGCTATGACAATTTGTCTGATGTTGACAAATTTGAAATTGATGAATCTGACAGTTCGGAATGACGGCATTTGTTTTCAAGCTTATCTTTTGCTCTAGAAGTGAGCTACACATAAGATAAGTGAAAAAAAGGTTTTGTGTTTGTTTAATTTATATTGTTTCCAAGGGGCGACAATAACTTACCATCTTCAATTACCAAACATCAAACCAATTCTGACCGATTTTCATTTTGATATTGATATTTTGCAGGGCCAGTGAAATATGATATGGGCGAGAAATAATTTTACCTAACTAGCCCTCCTGGCCAATGACTTTTCAAAATTAATTCATACACTGCCTTGGACTAAACTGGAAAGTTGAATTTGACTTAGCATATACAAACACTTCAAAGTCTACCTTCGTTAGTGAACATATAATGGGTTCGAATCCCGGTTTCCCCTGATCATTTTTCTAAGTCAGCATCATGCCCCACGACCATCGGTTTCAATCTTAAATGTCTGCGACCCGAATCATGTCGGGACATAGCTCCATCATCAAGCTGACACACCGAGCTCCAACTGAGTTCTGTCCATGGTGGCGTTAAAACAAACGCACTCTCTGTTTGTTTTAACGTGAATAAACTTACCCCTCAACAATGGACAAAGGCTCCATACATGTGTCGGACTCATGGCTGAAAACTGTCCCAGAGCCATCTCCAGGAAGAACAGCGGCAAGCCGCACAACACAAGACACACGACGAAGGGAATCAAGAAGGCGCCTGGAATGAATGAATGATCAACAGCATGAGCATCAATTGGGAACCGATGACATGTGTCAACCAAGCCAGTGAGCCTGACCACCCGATCCCGTTAGTCGCCTCTTACGGCAAGCATGGGTTACTGAAGATAAAGGACCGCCTCCGTGGTGTAGTGGTTAGAGCGTCCGCCCGGAGAGCGGAAGGTCGCGGGTTCGATCCCCGACCGCGTCATACCAAAAGACGTTTAAATATGGTACTTGTTGGTCCCTGTTTGGCGCTCGGCATTAATGGGTACAACAAGGACTGGTCGGCTCGGAGTCAGTATAATGTGTCTGAGTGGGGTATTCATGCTTCACTGCGGCATGGTATCTCAGTGGGCTAGCACTATAAAACCAGCTTAAGTCTGGGCTAGTACAAGCAGCCGCACATACACATACACACGCATGCCCGTCGTCATATGAGCGAAATATTCTCAAGCACGACGTTAAACCCAATTTCATCTCACCTCACTGAAGATAAATTCTAACCCAGATCTTCACGGGTATATTCAAGGTAGATTCGTACACGGTTATTAGGAAGACTTGGGAAGTGATGAGAGGCGTAAGCAGTAAAGCATCATTAAAATTACATTTTTCATACTTACTCACGAACTTCTAGAATGCCAATCAAACAGTTTCATTAAGTGCATACTACTGATTGAAACCGTCACGTGTATGTGAAGTTACGAATAGACAAAATGTTAAAAACCCATGGTAATATTCAGTATCAACAGAGAAATTGATAGTCAAATGATTTTAACTTCAATGCCAAATTAGGAAAAAGAAAGAATTATTAACCTCCTCCGTTTCTGTTGCAGATGTATGGGAATCGCCAGACGTTACCAAGGGCAACGCAGAAGCCTACTACAGACAGAATATATTCCAGCTGTGAGGCCCAATGTCCCCTCTCGTTTTCCCCCTTTTTGTCTTCGTCGTCGATGCAGTCTTTGGAATCCACCATGGCGACGGATTCGTAGGACTTCTCGTCTAACTTCGAGTTGGAATGCATCTTCTGAAATTGTCAAAAATACCATGAAATCATCATCATTATCATCATCATCATCTTCATCATCATCTTCATCACCACCACCACCACCACCACCACCATCGTCGTCGGCGTCATCATCATCAGCAGCAGCAACAGTAGCAGCAGCAGCAACACAAATGTTAGTCATCATCCCACATTACTTGAGCGAGGGTGCAATCAACATTCCAACATCCAGTCAGTGAGTTCTACATTGACATTATGTCTCCTAATTGCATTACATGAAAACAAATTAAACTGTGAAATGACTAACAATTTCAGTGTTTTCAACACAGGGAAGATACTTTTGACGCAGATCTGCACAAGCTTCGTCTACTAGTCCAAACAATTACGTTGACGGCTATGTTAACTCATAGACTTGTCTGTAAGACACCATTTAGAGGAATGAGAAACTATAGTGCTTTTAGTTCGGTTCGTGCCAATTTTGTAGCATACATAATTTTTTCGAAATAAGAACTTAGTTTATATTTTTTTAATGAACTTGTAAAAACGTAGAAATGATCAAAATTAGGAAAATGTGATCGAAGTAACGAATGTTAGAAATTTCGAAAAATATAAACAAATAATTGTAGTAACGCGAATGTAAAGTTAAAGAAATAATTCACACTCCAAAAGTAGCACCATTCGGTTTTCGAAATTGTTTGATTCATTATTAACTTCATATCAGAAACTAAATTAGTGATCGAACTAACGAGCAAAATGTTCGAAAATTCGAAATATATAAACAAATAATTGAAATAACGCGAAATGTAAAGTTGAAGAAATTATTCATCCTCCGGAAGTAGTACCATTCGGCTTCGTAATTGAGAAATTGTTTTATCATACAATGGATAGTGTTCTCGGCAGGATAAAGCCAACGGATATTTTCGGTATCCGTTGGGGTCATATACGGATATCGATGCATATTAGAGAGGTCATATGCAAATTTCAGGGACTACTTTCACAGTGTAAACAAACATGGCGTCAAGGGTCGGCGGTCGTGTCCGGATTAACGGCCGTGGTTACGGTACTGTCAGTGCTTTGATCCCAGAAAATTCATGCCTGGTTTTGATAGATGGAGTAGATTACAAAGCGAAGATAGAAATTGATAGGCTTACGAAGATACCAACATCAGTTCCCCGACCGACAGTCAGTGTTAGCGAGAGAACGGTGCACAGTGTCATGCTAAAATTAAAGCGTATTTGGTTGTTCAAAAGGTTAATTGAAGGTTTCTGAAGTTCCACGTGAGTTTGTTGTTATTTTTCAAACGTAAGCTAAGATTTGTTGACAACAATACGTGCTTTAGCATAAAAGCTGACTGGGAACTAGATGACCGCTGAGTGATCAGGAGAAAATTATGTCACCGGGCTTGTGACGTAACGTATTATTCCGCACATATTTGTGACGTCATAGACATTCCACGAAGTTTAGTTTCATGATTTGTGGCATTTGAAATCGCATTTTTAAAAATTATAAAGCAAAAATGACATTGTATGATAAATAGGTTATCATACTCGTGTGTTTTGGGATGGTTAATAGCCTGCATTAGGAATAAACACTATGTATTTAGCTCGCCAAGACTCGCTAAATACAATGATTATTCCTAATGCAGGATATTAACCATCCCAAAACACACTCGCGTGATAACCTATATTGATTCGTTATTTCTTTCATTAGAAACAATTACCTTCACAGAATATAATCAGAATCCATTGTTCCAGTAAATCGCATTGAAGCTTTGTAAAATCAGAACGGATTGTTCAAGGATGAGATTAGGAATCTACATGTATAATAGAAACGTGTAATGTCACGTTCAAGGACATTATCTAGAACCTCAGTTTAAAGCACTAAATATAAACATTAAAATCATCCAACATAAAACATCAATATATATTAATCTATATTTTAATCAATGGCTATGGCGTTATCATCATAATGTAACGTAAATGCGTGTTATCAATGAATCAGTGAGTGAGTGAGTGAGTTTAGTTTTACGCCGAACTCAGCAATATTCCTGCTATATGGCGGCGGTATGTAAATAATCGAGTCTGGACCAGATAACCCAGTGATCAACAGCATGAGCATCGATCTGCGCAATTGGGAACCGATGACATGTGTCAACCAAGCCAGCGAGCCTGACCACCCGATCCCGTTAGTCGCCTCTTACGACAAGCATGGGTTACTGAAGGTTCATTCTAACCCAGACCTTCACGGGTTATCAATGAATCAGAATGTTTACAACTGATTAGCATGTTTTGTTACCCTCCCACTCCCCATACATTCCCAAGCTGGGCCAGTGGTCGTTGTGACCGTGTTTACGTCAACAGAACGAATACAATAATTGGATATGCATCAATACACTCAAACCACGGCCTATGATATATCTGATATGTATGTATGGAAAATCCCCACACGAAATGACAAGCAAGAATTCATGGAAAATCCCTTTGCTACCAGCAAACGAGCATAACGGTCCACGGAAAACCCCCGTGCTCCCTTATTGAAGACAATTCAAAACATTTTCAGTTCATGTTTTTCCACGTGACAATTGCGTCATGTTACCTATAGTCCGTTTGGCTCAAAAGCGGACCGATGAATTACAATCTAACTTGAAAACTAATAAACATATAATATCAATGAAACGCCCATCATAATCAAAACATCAGACCAACTCTGTGAGTTTGCAGAATTTTGTTTAAAAATATTTAACAAACTATCATTAAAATTTTGACACAGTTCACTATTTGTTACGAGGGAGGAGTGCAAAGAGAGGAACAGCCAGGTGTATATAATACGTTTTTCTGTGGACAAAAAATTAATCAGTAGAAACATTCGATTGGTATTTATCTATATAGGTAAATGTATTATGTAGTTTCTAAATCGTTTTTATGTTATGTGATAATTTTATTTGGTTTCATTCATATACCTCATTTCATAAGTTTATGTTGATGAATACCGATGAATAATATATATATTGATATCATACATGTACATTATGTATTTGTACCACTATCAGCCGTATGTATCACGGCTTTGTATTTCTGTGATATTGTAATCTTGGAACCAATGAAAACAAAACAAAGCAAAAAAAAAACAAAAAAACCTCTCAGAACATGTCACTGAGATTTGGAAAAGTGCAAACAATATATAGTGTATACATGCGTATGATATACCTGTTGATAAACAGTCGTATAAAACACGTATAGTGTTTAAATATGTAACAAATCCTAAGTTCCTTACATTACGAGATACTGTGTTCCACTTGTAAACACTTTTCTTGTCCCAAGAAGATCACGTGGCGATTTACTCCGCCAACCCCACCTCCCATAATACACCGGGGCTTTGGCTCAAGAGTTTTGGGTGTACTGTAAAGTTGGCGGGGTGATAAGTAGAAAGTGCAGGAATTACACATGGATTAAGACCACCTTTGTGGTGGAGGTTATCGGTTCTATATTCAATTCAGTGTCATTGTTGGTTCCAAGGCAAACGCCAGTGACCAACACATTCATGATTGTCAGATGAAAAGAAACCGAACGAGAGCCTCACACAGACTGTGTTTTCACGGTGTAGCGGTGAATACACGTGTCATTACATGCAGTCCTTGTGAAGATTACGGGTTAGAATTTGTGAGAAAGTATTTGAAGCTGCTTGAATCTGATTCCGTTCTTGTCAACATGATTCCGGTTGATTCCTAGTTTTCTATAATCCTATTTTTTAAACGAACAAATGGCGGCTTCCAAGAAGCTTGTGGTTCCTTTGACACGGACTTAATCCTATTTTACAGTTCAAGTGTCTTCAACCAATGCACCCGTGAAGATCCGGGTTAGAATTGATCTTCAGTAACCCATGCTTGTCGTAAAAGGCAACTGACAGGATCGGGTGATCAGGCTCGCTGACTTGGTTGACACATGTCATCGGTTCCCAATTGCATAGATTGATGATCATGATGTCAATCACTGGATTGTCTGGTCCAGACTCGATTATTTACATACCGCCGCCATATAGCTCGAATGTTGCTGAGTGCGGAGTAAAACTAAACTCACTCACTTCAACCAATGCTTGCTGCAAAAGGCTACTTGAACTGAGCTTTCAGGCTCGGTGACAGCGTGTCATCGTAACCCGACGACGTTGAGCTTTGATCGTAATATCAATCACGGGATTATCACACCAAATTGGCTTGTGCTGTAATTTTGACATGTGTAGGTCTGAGCATATTCAGGATTGTGCTAAAAGGTAAACATGATTAGGGTCTAATATGTCCCTAGGACCAGTATATCCCAATTGAAATTCATCGTTTATTTATTTATAAAGGAGAGATTTCTCTGTGTTTTATGCATCAACGGGGTTAAAGATTGAAGAAAATTGTTTGTGTATGCGTTCGCATGCGTGCGTTCGTGCGTGTAGGTCTGGTATATTCAGGATTGTGTTAACAGGTAAACCTGATTAGGGTCTAATATACCCCTAGAACCTGTATATTCCTATAGAAATACATCATAGGTTATTTATTAAGGAGAGATTTCTCTGTGTTTTGTGTATCAAATGGTATTTAAAAAGTGTGTGGGCGTATATGTGTGTATGTGCGTGCGTGCATGCGTGCGTGTGTTTGAACATACATACTAAGGCCCATCTGTGCAATGATAGTAGTTATCGCAAGACCGTTCAGGTGTTATCGGCATGAATAAACCTCAATCACGTATCGATTTGTTGTGACACGCATCCCTTGACCGCTGTTGATTCCATTGACTGACCCTGACCCTGCTGTCCTCTATCTATAGTTAATGGTCGACACTGTTGGCGTGGGGGTTAAAGCTGTTTCTGGCTATTGTATGGATCAGTTTGCGTGTGTGAGAACGGCATGGGACTAAAAGAGACATTAAGATCTATTGTACTTATCAATTGTACTGCCAGTGTCATATCCCTGTATGAAAGAAATACCATAAGTCGTATGGCAACAATACATTTGTACACAGCGGGATACAAGCCTGCAA